TAACTTTCATTTATTGAGAACCTGCATGATGTGCTAAGCAGTATGGTAAAGCATATCTTCATTGTTTTGTCGTAAATTCCTTAAGGCAAGACATGTTTTACCAGAAAAAGTTGCAGTTTGATATGGTTATACCTAATTTTTGGCACTAGGAAATATGAGATTTCTCCATATCCATAAGAAAGCTGAGATCCAGACTTTACATAACTACACAGTTGACTGTCTCCAAAATTTATGTTTCTTCACTACTCCTCAATATGTCTTAGCCAGTTAAGCAATAACATAACTGAAACTAAAAGCCAGTTAAGATTCTATCAATTATACCAAACAGGTTCCAAAATCTTAGAGTTTGTTGTGAATAATAGTCACTTTTATTTTCCATATTTGACAGGATCTTGGGAAATAAATTGTTGTTGAAGGTGTTTAGTGCTGTTGAGTCAGTTCCAACTCATAGTGACCCTGTATTGGGTTTCCAAGGAGCGGCTGGTGAACTTGAACTGCCTACCTTGCAGTTCAAACTGACATTGCTTGACCACACCAGTACTCTTGGATACCGTGAAGTTAACAATCAGCCACTCCTCGGAAACCCCTTACAGGGTTGTGATGAGTCGAACCTACTCCACAGCATGTAACAACAACAGCAACAACATGTAAGAAGTCCTGGTGTGGCACTGTTGGATGAGTACTGGACAGCTAAACACAAGGTCAGTGGTTCAAACATACCAGTCACTCTTTGGAAACCCTGTACAGGCAACAATGACATGTAAGACCAAATCCATTGCTCAAGTGAATAAGACCTAGTTCCTGACTAAAAGAAACTCAAGGCTTAGTGAGGAACTTTAGCAACTACAATTAACAAAGCCCCGCTCTAAATGTGGGTGCCTCCATTTGCCCTTACCTGACATCTTTGCACCATTAGAAAATTGAGTAACTGGGTGTGATAGGTAAGAAAGGGGCTGTTGCTAGGTGCCCTCAAGTTGGTTCCAACTCATAGCAACCCTGTATACAGTTTCTGAGGCTATAAATCATTATGGACGCAGAAAGCCTCATCTTTCTCATGAGGAGTAGCTGGTAGATTTGAACTGCTAACCTTGTGATTAACAGTCCCAATGTTTATCCTACAGCATCACTATCTCTTCCTAAGAATGGAACTAGAGACAGAAATTTTAAATCTTTCAGATTTAAAGCCGAATTTGCATTCCTCCAGGGAGACAATAAGCCGTGGCTTATATTTTGATGGTTAAACTATACATACTTGAAAAGAATTCAAAGTATAGAATTGTTGTCATGTGCTACTGAGTCACATCTGACTCAAAGCGACCCTGTATAGGGTTTCAAAGGAGCAGCTGGTGGGTGTGAATGCTGACCTTGTAGTTGTTTACCCTACAGTGCCACACCAGGATTCCAGACTATAGAAATGTACCCTGGGAAAACTGAAGAGCTGGCTCTCCCTACTTGTAACCACTTCAGCCTTTTTAGCATTTATCTTCCTGGATTTTTTTTTTTTTTTCTCTTCTGAAAACTCTGAATCAGAGTAATGTAGTGGTGAAAGGAATACAAGAAATTGCCAAGCCCAACTTGTACATTGTATAGAAAAAAAAGAGGTCCTGAGTGACTAAGTGGGGTTACAGTTGTATTGGCAGAATTGGGCCTGGAATCCCGGGCTCCCAGTAACAACTGCTTGGGCTTGTGTTCAGAGCATGTGCTGTTGAAGAAAAGCAGCAGCACTGTTTGGTTCTAGACAGGTCTTGATACAGGTGAAATAACGAAAGTTGGAGAATTGAAGTCTAGATTGACTTTAGAGAACATTTTCAAGATTGAGGTATCATGTTATCAGGACTTCAAGTAGGAAATTTTGTATTTTTCTGTTGTTTATCCCCTTTAAACCTGAACAGATCAGTCCCTTTCCATATTGAGGTGATGTTTATCTTTAAAACAGCATGTTTGGGCCACTAGCTCCTGCCATTTGTTTTTTCCAGTGCGCTGTAGGATAAACATTGAACGGTTAATCACAATTTTGGCGGTTCAAACTCACCAGCTGCTCCTTGTATAGGGTTTTCAAAGCTGTAAATCTTTGTGGAAGCAGAAAACATTTTTCTCTTGCAGAGTGGCTGGTGGGCTCAAAGAACCGACCTTGTGGTTAGCGTAGTGGTTATAAATTGGGCTGCGAACCGCAAGGTCAGCAGTTCGAAACTACCAGCTGCTCCATGGGAGAAAGATGAGGCTTTCTGCTCCCGTAAAGATTTATAGCCTCGGAAACCCTGTACAGGGTTGCTATGAGTCAGAACCTATTCGACGGCACTTAACAACAACATATGTATACATATATATACATCTGTATACTCATAGGGACCCTGTATAGGGTTTCTGAGATTGTAAATCTTTGCAGGAACAGAAAGCCTCATTTTTCTTCCACAGAGTAGTTGGTGGCCTTGAACCACCAACCTTGTGGTTCATAGTCAGTACTTTACATATGGAGACACTGTGCTCCCCATATGTGTGTATGTATATGTGTGTATCTGCATATGTGTGTGTGTGTGTGTGTGTGTGTTTGATGTTTATAAGGAGCTCTGGTAGCAAAGCAGGTTACAGGTTGCTATTTATATTACAGTAGAACTGTAACAATACCATTGATAATAACTGGAATTATGTAGAAACAAATATAACCCGTTTTGTTTTCTAAAGTAGTAAATTGCTTATATAAGTATGGAATAGGAAAAATGTAATTGAGTGACAACATATCTGTTGGTGCACTTAATTTACAAAACACTCTGACCATATTAATTTGGTTTAGATTCTCACAACTCTGTGAAGTAATTAGATTTAGTCATTGTTAAGTGCTGTCGAGTCAGTTCCAACTCATAGTGACCCACCCTATGTAGGGTTTTCAAGGAGCAGCTGGTGGGTTTGAACTGCTGACCTTGTGGTTAGTAGTTCGGTACTTATTCTGCAGCACCACATCAGGGCTTTTCAGATTTAGTTTTTAGAAGTTAACTGTTAACACGGTTATCATTCTCACTGTCTCTAGAAAATTTGACACAGCTATGGTGGTAGTGGTGGTGGTGGTTATGTGCTGTGGAGTCGGTTCTGATTCATAGTGACCCTGTACAGTGTTTCGAAGACTATGAATCTTTACGGGAGCAGAAAGCCTCATCTTTCTCCGCGGAACCACTGGTAGTTTCAAACTGCTGACCTTGAAGTTACCAGCCCAGCTTGTAACCACTACAATACCATAACTCCTTTTTGACATAGCTATAGCATCCCCAAATTAAAAGAAAAAACCTTAATAAAAATCTAAGTTGACTACATGCCCCAATCCTAGATTATTTGAGGTTCTTTCTTCACTTTTAGTTGGCAGTTCATTTGACTACTCTTTTTAATGAAAACGCTGAAATTAGACCTGTTTATCTGAGTTTCTGGTTTGCACCTTCATAATGGGTATTTGAAACCTGTTATTAGAAAGTACCTGATACATTAGGCTATTACTATGTGTATACAGCTGTTGAAATCTGCTTTTGATCTGTTTGTTTATATTTCTTTCATGAGAAGTAATTTTTGTACTAGCAACCAGTTCAGATTCATTTTGAAGGTGTGGTTGGATTTTCACATTGAAAGTTTCCTTTTAGCAGAGACTTAACTGATTAATAATAATAATGGATAAAATTCTTTTCAGAGCAGTAAGTTACTTCAGTTGTTAATAGTCATATATATATATTTAACTGAGCATTTATTTCTTTTATATCTCTTTAGGAATCTTTGTAAGAGTTTGAACTTTACTGTTTCATCATGGGAAAGAGTATGAATTATTTGATGTGGTTGAGCTATCTCCCCGCATCCAGTAGAATTGGGTATTATTACCATCCTTTTTTTGTTGTTGTTGTTAGTTTATAGAGTATGCGAAAGAGAGTTGTACACCTTCCCTTTTCTTTTCATAAGGAAATGCAGCTTCGGAGTGATTCCATATTCCAGGGAGTTCAAAGAATTCTGAACCATAAGCTAAGCTTAGTTTCAGATGAGGCTAATGGTTTTTCAAGCACCAGAATTTTCTTTAATTCATGTAGTATTAGTATAGCTAGAAATACCTTGTAGCATAAGTGTCTTTTACTTAGCAAATTACTAGCACTATAAGTAAGGAAAGAAGCTCTGGTAGCGTAGTGGTTACTAATTGGGCTGTGAACCTTAAGGTCAGCAGTTCGAAACTACCAATTGTTCAGCAGGAGAAAGATGAGGTTTTCTGCTCCTGTAAAGATTTACAGCCTCGGAAACCCTGTACAGGGTCACTGTGAGTAGGAACCGACTTCATGGCACATAACTACCAACCACTACCATAAATAAGGAAAGTAACCCTTGGTGTGGCACTGTGGGTTAATGCGCTAAACTGCAAAGTCATTTGAACTGCGAGGTTGGCTGTTCAAGCTCACCAACCACTCCTCAGAAACCCTGTACAGGGTTGCTATAAGTCAGAACTGACTCAATGACACCAAACAACAACTGTATACAGGACATAGGATACAACTATTTACAGAAGAAGGAAATAGATTTCCTCAAATAGATTTTTAATTCAGTAGGGAAGCTATGATCTGTAAATAACATCAATACATGGTAAATACAGATTCAATGCTATAAAACAAAAGAGGGATCTGATCTAGTTGGAGAATGTATTTGGAATCCAGGAATGAGAAAGGGGCACTTGGGCAAGATGAATGTCTATTTCTTAAATAAAGTATGTTTACAAAACCTTAATGGGGGATAAATTGGCTGATTGGAGGATGATAAACTCTATTATAGAAATAGAATTCTGTACTTCCTAAAACAATGCCTTGCAAGTTTTAACTCATTAATGGGGGAACATCTGTTTGAGTTGTACTTAAATGCAACCTACCTCAAGTGGGTGCTACAAAAATTTGTACAAGTCAGTTGTGTTTATATTGCTTTTATTTAGCGTATCTCATTTTCACTGTGTCGTTTTAACTTTAGTGTGTTTCATATTTTTTAGACCTGGAATGGCCAAATATCAAGGTGAAGTTCAAAGTTTGAAACTGGATGATGATTCAGTTATAGAAGGAGTAAGTGACCAGGTACTTGTGGCAGTTGTGGTCAGTTTCGCTTTGATTGCTACCCTGGTATATGCACTTTTCAGGTGAGACTAAAGGATAGAAGAATTGAAATAATAAGTATTCTTGAGGGCCACTGACTTTTTTTTTTTACTGCTCTTTGTGATGTTTAACATTTAATATAAGAAGCAAGTAATAAATGTCATTGACTGTAGATATGTGCTAAGGTTTTTTTTTCTTCCATTGGCCTCTGAATATTAACACATTTTTTCTTATCATCTGAAATTTAAATTTGTCATCCATATTTTGAATAAAATGTTAATGTAAATATAAGCTAAAAAGCATTGCTTCAAATTCTTAGAAGGCTTTGCTACACTAAAAGATCAAAATGTGATACTATTGTTTTCTTACATATCTTCTATCTTCTGAATATAGTGTTTCCATCTCTCTAACCCCTTGCCCAGGAGGCCTGGTGTGGTGCTGTAGGATAAGCACTGGGCCACAAGGTTGGTTTGAACTGTAATTCAAACTCACTAGCCACTCTTCAGAAACCCTATATAGGGTCACTATGAGTTGGAACCTACTAGACGGCACTTAGCAACAACTACAGCAACCCTTCCCCAAAGAACTCAGCAGTCTTCCCTTTACCCAAGCCAAAATGGCAGTTTGGGCAGTCTTGGGTGACTCATATCCTATTCCTTTGAAATGTTTGAGTTGGGGAACACAAGGGAGTCTGGAGGGGCAAGAATAAGGCTACAGAGTGGACCAGGTAAGGTTTCCCAATGAAATTCTCATAAAACAGTCCTTACTAACCTCAAAGAATCAGTAGGTGCATTGTGGTGATAGGGAAAAATTCCCCAGTGCGAATTTGCTGACTTTTTTCTCACCAGTGCAATTTTCTGTTTTCCTAAAAGTTCATCATAATAAGCCCCCATGATTGTCCTGTGTTCTTTGAGAAAATCTATCAAGATTACCACTTTGGAATTGCAAAAAACAGGCATCACAACTTTCTGAGTTGACTTTTCTGTTTGAATAGCTGGTCCATCAAATCCCCTTGAAGCCACTGTTTTGATTGGACCTTATGTCTGAGGGCACATTCCTAAGCAACAAATCAGTGAGTTTCCTGTAAAAAATTGTAGAAAAGATTCTTAAAACATATTGTGAACACTTAAAAAATAAAATAGTGATTAATCTACTCTTTTACTGCTGTGTTACTAGTCTTTTAGGTTTGGGTAATATTACCTTGATTTTACTGAATATCTGGTGAGTGTAATGGGGAAATGATAGCTCAGTTAAGTGAATTCATAACTTACTGAAAAGTGGTTCATAAGGAATACTGGCTAATCTTTTAATATAAACGAAAAAAGAGGATACTCTGTTGTTGATAAGCCCTGTCTCTGGACTGGTTCTATTAATTTATACTAACAACTTAGATGAAAATGCCATAGAGACATGTTTATTAAATTGCCAGTTGGGAGAGCTAACTAAAGTATTGGTACAACTGAACTGAAATTAAGAAATGGATCATGACTAGGCAAATAGTTTTGCTTTTTACCGCATATGGATGGGATGCAGATATGAATTTATTGTGTTGTAAAAGTATTCACAACAGATTGCTGAGTGAGAACAGTCAAATGAAAGCTTACAAACAGTAAAGTAGCTCGGTTTATTTTAAAATATTTTTATATGATTAATTTTATTTAAAAATATTTTTGTCCCTTGTTTTTTAATTTCTCTACTGTGACTTATGTAGTACTTTCATTAAAAAAAAAAATTGACGATTTTTTCCCTCCACAGATCTGAATGATGTGCTAAGCCTAAATTAAAAGTTCTCATTTAATAAGGCAGTTATATAATTTAAATACCAAAAACTTAATAGTATTCAACTGTATTAATCAAAATAGCCAGATAAAGGTCATATCTGGATTATATTCAGTGTGAGGCAAATACTTAAAACTGAAAAACATTCAAAGGAGGGTTATCAGTATGGAAAAAGATATGGAAACAAATCCTATAGAAATAGTTGAAGGAACTGGAGCTATTTAGCTTAGGGAAAGGAACTGGTAGACATAAGAACTGGTTTTATGGAAGAGAAATTAGATTTATTCTTTGTATCTTCACGAGCAGAACTAGTACCAATGGATGAAAGATTTTGGCCCAACATTAGAAATAATTTTTTTTTTTAACTTTTTATTGTAAAATGAGTGTAGGTCTATAGAGCAGATGACCAGTTTTACTTTCAACAAGTCATATACTTTGTTTTTTGTGGTGCTGCTAGATTCTTTGTTCCACATAATTTTCCATGCTGAGTTTATTTTGTGGGTTTCTTGTCATTTTCATTTCTGTTGTGTTAATGTTTACGAAATCTTACTGATTTTCTTCTTTTTTATTTTGACATTTAAGTGTATTATTTTTCTTTGAGGTTACCCTATAATTTATTCCTGCTTAAAACAACCTGTTTTATCTTTAAATCTACTTGACTTCCTTGCTATTTGGAAGTTCTGTATCTACACTATTCCCTCTTTTTGCTTTGAGTTGACTTCATTATACATTGATATCTCTGGTTCTCTATTTTCGGTCTTGTGGGTTTGTTTAACTCCAAATACTTTTATATTTGGATTGAGTTCTGGGTGGTTTTGTCATGTATGGTAAACTCAGGTTGTTGTCTGCTATTGTTGGTTCTCAGTCCAAAGAACACCCTTTGACATTTTTTGTGAAGTTGGTCTAGTCATTAATATTCCTTTAATCTCTGTTGATCAGGAAATGTTCTAATTTCACTGTTGTATTTGAGGGACAGCTTTGCTGGGTATATGATTCTTGGTTGGAAATTTTTTTCTTTCAGAGATTTGTATATGTCATCCCATTGCCTTCTGCATGATTTCTGCTGAGAAGTCAGAGCTTAACCTTATTGGTTCTCCTTTGTAGGTAACATTTCATATTTCCCAAGGTGCTCTAAGGATTCTTTTTTTTTGGAAAATTTGGTTATGATATGTCTTGGTGATTTTCTTTTAGGATCTATCCTGCTTGGGGTTGTTCAGCTTCTTGCATGCTAGCTTCTCATCTTTCACGATGTTAGGAAAATTTTCTTCTAACACCTCTTGGATAATTTTCTCTGTGCTTGTCTCTTCTTGTTTTGGAATTCTCATCACCTTTACGTTTTTTCCTTTTCATGGTGTCCCACATAACTCTTAGGTTTTCTTTGGATTTTGTCTGATTGTTCTTTTATTATACTAGTACTGAAAGATTTATTTTCAAGCTCACTAATTTGGGCTTCCGTTGCTTCCCATCTACTCTGCCCTTTCATTGTATTGTCCATTTCTGAGATCTTAGTATTAATCTTCTGGATTTCTAATTGCAGGTTCTATATTGTTTCAAAATTTACACTTATTTTGTCTGTTCTTTTTCCTGAATTTTTCTAAAGTTTCATTGTGTTTTTCTTGCTTTCCTCAATCTTTCTATGGATCCTTTGAAAGTACCTAATTATCAGTTATTTTGAATTCTTTTTCAGTTAGTTCCATTACCTTTCATTCCTTGGAAACATTTTCTGGCTCTGCATCTTAGTCATTTGTTTGAGACATTCACTCTTGTTTCTTCGTGTGAACTAAAATTGTTGTCTCTGTGAGCATTGTGGGGTTATTGTATTTATAAAAACAAACAATGCAGTTGTGCTTATGTATAGGGCACTTAGTCTGGAAGTAGTTCATGGGGGCTCTTGATGGAGCTGGTTCCTTGTTAGAACCACAGGAAACCTGGAGGCAGTGTGACTATTGAAATGCTTGTCTGGTGACTGTGGGTTCTGCAGATCTGGACCAAGCCTACCCGAATTCAGGCACCAATGTGCCACACCAAAGCGGTGCAGCTGGTTCCCACCTCCAACTGGCATGCCTCCCCACCATGTGGCTGTGAACTTCTGGAGAGCATGGTCTGTGCTGGGGGTGGGTTAGGGTGGGAGCTAACCATACTTCTGGTCACCAGGGAAATATGGGGAAAAAAGAAATCAACGTTTTCCATTGCTCATACGAATCTGCTCTGCCAGGCTTCCCTCCACTGCCAAAGTTGCTCATAAGATGGTCGAGCCACATCTGATCAGCCGTTCACTAGTCATTCTCCTTCTCTTGTCATCCCTGCTTAACCTCGCTACCCAGCAAGTACTCCATCCACCATAGTAACCTTTCTTCTGAAGTTCAGGGTGCCAGAATTTTCATCTGTGTCTGTTTTATTTTGTCTCTTTTATCTTTGTTGTAATGGGACTATGTAATGTGTCTGCCTAGTCTACCATCTTGCCAGAAATAATTTAAAACAAGCAACGATTTATCTATTTTCTGTACTTCTTTGGAGTCCTGGTATGGCTCTGTAGGTTAATGCACTGGACTGCAAGGTTGACCCGCAATGTCAGTGGTTCAGACTCACCAGCCACTTCTCAGAAACTCTATACATGGTTGCTATAGGTCAGAACCAACTGGACGGCACGTAACAACAATGTACTTCTTTGATGTTGTGGGCATTATAATTAATTAAAGTCTTTTTAACTTTGTTTTTCTTTCTATTTAAGCTACTAATTCAGTTCCTGTTGTTATATGCTGTTGAGTTGGTTCTGACTCATAGTGACACTGTGCAGGGTTTCTAAGGAGTGGCTGGTGGTTTTGAACTGTCAACATTATGGTTAACAGCTCAGTGCTTATCCTACAGTGCCACCCTATATTACTAATACTAACTGCCATTAATTGATATATCAGAAGCTAGTCCAAACCTGATATGGTGTTTAACCTGCAAAATTTTGCAGACTTATAAACTTGGATTCAGACTTTCTTTCCTTGTCTCGGGTTTTGAGTATCATTTCTATCCTTGTACCAGAAGTTCTGGCTCCTTTCCATGGGCCACATACAACGTAACTGGTTTGGTGGTTTGGGTTTCTCCTTTCAAAGCACAAAGAAGGATCATAAATGCAGTAACAACAACAAGTGTACTTGTATGTTGGAGCCACAGTCTTCTCTGGCATCTAACTTTAGACCTACTTAGTATTAAATGCTTTGTCATTTTCTCATGGCTAAGGTGACAGAAGTCCCAGATTTTCTAGTCTGGCATTCATTCTGTTTTAATTACTGCATTATTTTCTAGATTTTTAGTATTGTACACATAACCACCAGCCAAAATTTAATTAATTAACCTGTTTTTGTTGTGCTGTGCCATCAAATCTGTTTTGACTCATAGTGAACCTGTATAGGGTTTCCAAGGTTTCCAAGGTGGGCTTGAACTGATGACCTTATGGTTAGCAGTACAGTGTTTATCCTGCAGTGCCATAGCAGGACTCCATGGGCAATGTTTATAAGTTAGGACTGTTTGTTCTTACTAAAAGGATGGTATATGAGGTGACTTCAAAAAGTTAATGAAAAATGGAATTAAAAGATCATGGAATTTTTCCATGAATTTTTTGAAGCATCTTGTACATTGACTTTTCTAGTATTCTAAGAATTCTCCCATCTATTATGGGAAGAAGTCAAAAGAAAGACCTCACATGGTTCATTGCTATAACCTGAAAAGTCATGAATATCTTTCTCCATTGAAAAGGGAATGGTTTTTCAGACTCAAAGAATAGAGAGATGCTGTTTGGCTATGTGATTACTAGTATTTACATGAGATGATTCCCTGAGTTGTTCCTTGATAGGTTGTTTTCACATATAAATGGCCTTCTTTCATAGATCATTTTGTTGTACGATTATAACTCACTTAAAAATAAACAAAATTTAAGAGATTTAAACAGACTTCAAGTAGTCTCATTCTATTTATGTTGAGCTTCTGGTTATTAGATTTGACTTTAAATTGTTTTTCTGCCTTCTCTGAACTAATGTCTATATTTCTTTTTCAGTTTTCTTTTTTAAAATTTAAACTTTTTTCCTGAAAGGTGAAAATTACAGGATGAATTTCATTAATTTTTCTTTTCCCATTAGGATATTGATTTAGAATTGTTAGCTCTGTTGGGTAGTGGCTCACCCAGAAGGAAAAGGCTCTTTTATAGAATTAAGTAGGAATTGTATGGACTTTTAATTTTCCACTCTAATGTTTCAACACTCATGTATCCTATCCCATATGTTTATGCCAGCCACTCACTTCTTGCCACTAATTTTCTATTTTAATTGTAAATATTAAGGTATTAGTAGTATGTTTTAATTTTTCTGTATCATTTCAGTTTCTGTTTTTCCTTGACCACCCTCTTCCCTTACAAGTGAAAATTAGGGAGAAAGATAAAATTTGAATGTGGAAAAGTGGTTAAAGATATAGGTAGAATTATATAACTAATTACTCTGAAGATATTTCACAAATTAAATCTTAATTATTCTTTATATTATTGGAATGCCTGCAATCACGTCTCCGGGATATTAGGTTGCTTAATTTCATCATTTTCCAGGTATACCTGTCATAAGTCAGTGACCTTAGAATTTCTCATAGAATAGCCTGAATTGGAGTACAATCATGTGCAGTAATTTATATTTATTAGTTACCAGTAGTTCTCAGTTAAAAATTAGAATTGCACAAAATTGATACCTTATAGTCAAGATTTATTATATTTTATTCAACAGAAATGTACATCAAAACATTCACCCAGAAAACCAAGAGCTAGTAAGGGAACTTCGGGAGCAACTTCAAACAGAACAGGTACTGTTACAGAAATACATGCTTGTATGTGAGGAGTGGTGGCGGTGGTAGTTGTGTGCCACTGAACCGGTTCTGACTCACAGCGACCCTGTATGGGATTTTTGAGGCTGTTAATCTTTATGGGAGCAGAAAACCTCATCTTTTTCCCAGGAAATGGCTGGTAGATTTGAATTACTGACCTTTCAGTTAGCAGCCCAGTTCATACATAATCCACTACACTGCCAGGGCCCCTGCCTTATGTGAGAAGTAGAGGTATAATTCCCCCTGTATGTGATATCATGGTAAAACATTAAAAGTTGTTTTGAAACCAGGGCTTCTTTCCTGGTTTAAATTACTTTATATTGTCCTGTAAATTTCAAGTTAGGCAAATGCTTGTTGTTGTTGTTAAGTACTGTGGAATCAATTCAGACTCATAGTGACCCTGAACAGGGTTTCTGAGGCTGTAAATCTTTACAGGAGCAGAACACCTCATCTTTCTCCCACAGAACCACTGGTAGTTTTGAACTGCTAACCTTGTGGTTGGCAACCTGACTTGTAACCACTCCATTCAGTTATTTTCAGGTTGGCTTATTTTTTAACTTATTTTTAAAAAGACAGCAATTTTTCTATTATTTATTTTAGTGTGAGGAAATAATCAGTGTCTAATTGGCCTTAATGAAATTTAGTGAAAATTTTGTCTTTCTAACATATATTCCATGAGACTTATGGAAAAATTACTAGAAGAGATGACCCTTGTGTTTTCTTTTCTTTTTTTCAGTGGTCAGAGCTAACAACACTAACTAGACAAAGAAGAAAACATTTCTCCTCTGTCTCTTTTTGCTTCTTGTCAGAAGGAATATCTTAAGACCCAGAATGTACTATACTTTATAAAGGCTGGAGAAAGTTGAATATGGTGCACTTTCATGCCAGGAAAGCTAAAATGAAAAAACAGAAATTAAAAATTTGTTTTCCTGAACTGCAAGGTCAATGGTTCAAACCCACCAGATACTCCTTGGAAACACTGTACACAGTTGCTATGAGTCGGAACTGACTTGATGGCACTTAACAACCACAGCAATAAAACTTCAGTTCTATGAGAATTTTATCATTTATCCATGTCCAAAAAATTTTGAGCCATATGCTAGACATTATCCTAAGCATGGAGAGTTCCATTGTGAACTAAACAATCAAATACTTAAATTCATTGATGGAAGAATAGTTTAAAAGTTAGTAGTACTCTCTTCCAAAATTATTATTATCAATAATTCATGCTAGCAGAGTGCTTGGCAGTTTACAAAGTGATTTCACATACTACTATTTTATTTAATCTTCAGACAACACACTTGAAAAGTAAGGTAGTTATTATCCCCATTTAACTTATTACATTACTAAGACTGGCTCATATTCATACATGAATACACCCAGTTATGAAGGAGACCCAGATTGCAGTGGATCTTACAGACTTTTTTGACACTGTCTTATTTATCTACCTCAGACCTTGTTAGAAATGGTCTTGGATTTAGAATAAAGCTAGTGACTTCATCTAATTTTGTATTGTTCCACAAGATAATCACTAGCCAGTGACATGTGGGAATTTAAATTAATTAAAATGAAAAAAATCAATCTTTTAATCACACTAGCCACATTTCAGGAGTCCTGATATAATACTGTAGGGTAAGCATTAGACTGCTAACCACAAGGTAGGCAGTTCAAACCCACCAGCTGCTCCTTAGAAACCCAATGCACAGTTGCTATGAATCTGAAATAAACAAAACAACAGCAGCCACATTTCAGGTATTCATGTAGATAGTGCTTACCATAGTGACAGTGCAGATAAAGATTTCCATACTTACAGAAAGCTCTATTGGATAGCATTGATAATTTTATATTTGTCAGTTTCTAAAGAAGAAAAATAAAGGGAAAAGTGGAGAGGGGAATATTAAGAAAAGTCCATTTTCTTTTTTGCACCCATAAAACTGGACATAAAAGACCATAATATCAATGTCTGACCTTGGCTTGAGAATATTCTGATATTTTATGAAATATTAAATTTCAGTATGCCTTCTAAAATTGAGTGATAAAAATCTTTGGTTTCTTTTATATAGTATTTCATGTTTACCATATTCTTCCATTCTTTTTAAAATAAATATTTTTGTTTTTATTACTAATACTTTATGGAGTCCTGGTATGGCACTGTAGGCTAAGCACTGGATTGCTAACCACAAGGTTGGTGGCTCAAACCCACCAGCTGCTCCTTGGAAACATTATACAGGGTCGCAGTGAGTCTGAATTAACTCTACTGCACTTAGCAATAACAATAATAGCACTTTGTCTATAAGCTGTGTGCTGGATGCTGAAAAACCAGTTTTTGACCATTAAAATTTTTAACCAACACATACTAAGTATACATATACCAGTACCACCACTTGTCTGTCAGTTTGCTGTACTATGGTGGCTTGTATGTAACTGTGATGCTAGAAGCTATGCCACTGATATTTTACATACCTGCAGGGTCATCTATACTAGACAGGTTTCAGTGACGCTTCCAGATAAGAAAGAGTAGGAAGAAACAGAGGTAGACTACTACTGAATGTTTAACCACTGAAAACCTTATGAATAGCAGTGAAATATTGTCAGATATAGTGCTAAAAGATGAAAATATTATCAGTAGCACCAGAGCATTGTCAGAGATAGTGCCAGAAGATGAGCTCCTCAGGTTGGAATGCACTCAAAATATGTCTAGGGAAGAACTATCTTCTCAAAGTAGAGTTGACTGTGATGATGCTAATGGAGTAAAGCTTCCGGGATCTTCATTTGCTGATGGGGCACATCTCACAATGATGAGAAACAACTGCAAACATCCATTAATAATCAGAACATGAAATGTATGAAGTATGAATCTAGGAGAATTGGAACCTGTCGAAAATGAAATGGAATGCATAAAGATCAATACCCTAGACATTAGTGAGCTGAAGTAGACTGTTATTGGCCATTTTGAATCTGACAGTCACATGTCTTACTATGCCGGAAACATTAAAAAATGTTAAACATTAAAAAATGTTCTTTTTGACAATAAATGGCAAAGCATTCATTGTCAAAAAGAACATTTTAGGATCTATCTTGAAAAATAGTGCTGTCCATGATATGGTACTATGTATGCACCTAAAAGGAAGACCAGTTAATGCCACAATTATTCAGATTTATGCACCATCCACTAAAGCAAGTGATGATAAAATTGAAGAATTCTACCAACTTCTTAAGTCTAAAATTGATCAAATGTTCAATCAAAAGCTCAATTGCACCAGCTAAAAGGCCAGGGCAAATTGAAACAGACCATCAATTGCTCACATGGAAGTTCTGGCTAAAGCTGAAGAAATTTTTTTTAGTTCCACAAGAGCCAAAATATGACCCTTGAACATATCCCACCTGAATTTGGAGGCCATATCAAGAACACATGGGATATATTAGACACTAACAATTGAAGACCAGAAGAGCTATGGGGTGACATCAAGAACATCATACAGGAAGAAAGCAAAAAGTCATTAAAAAGACAGGAGAGAAAAAAAGATTGAAATGGATATCAGAAGAGACTATAAAACTTGCTCTCCAGTGTGGAGAAGCTAAAGTGAATGGAAGAAATGGGAAGGTAAAAGATCTGAACAAAAAATTTCAAAGGGCAACTCAAAAAGACAAAGTCAAATATTATAATGAAATATGTAAATACCTGTAGTTTAAAAACCAAAAGGAAAGAACACACTCAGTATTTCTCAAGCTGAAACAACTGAAGAAAAATTCAAGCCTCGGTTTGCAATATTGAAGGGTTTTATGGGGAAAATATTGAATGATACAGAAAGCATCAAAACAAGGTAGAAGTGGGGAACTTCTGAAAGATAACGGACTGGGCAGATGCACTGCATGGACCCTCTACAACAAAGATGTGAGAGGCAGCCTGCCAGCCACTCCACAAGAGAAAGTCGAGGCTTTCTGCTGCCACAAAGATTTAAAAACCACTATGACCTGGGAGAAGCCCTGTGATCCAAGCAAAAGAAGAATTATGGAAGCGTATTCAAAACTTCGCAGTGAAGGGTTTGGGGTGGGAGTTGGGAAGAATATGTGCCACTTTTATTTTAAAACTGCAAATTATGTAATTGTTCAAAAATAAATGGGAAGGAACAGAGAGTCACTTTACCAAAAAGAAATGGTTAATGTTCAACCATTTCAAGAGGTAGTATATACATTTGAGTTCTGGTGTTTGAGGAGAATATTAAGGGTACCATGGACTGCCAGAAGAACAAACACATCTGTGTTGGAAGCAGTTAGAGCCAGAATGCTCCTTAGAAGCCAGGATGGCCAGACTTCGTCTCTCATACTTGATCAGTTTGGGTGGATTGGAAATAGGAACCACAGGGAGGAAAAGGGATAACTGCTGTTGCATGGAGGGAATTGCAAACATTGAGATGAAGCCAAGTGTATGATTTTTTAAATACAAAATTGATTATCTTGTCTGGAAATTTCACTCAATTCATAATAAAAAGTTTTGAAAATCAAAAGACAAAAAAGAGGTAGCATATGATTGAGAACCAATGGTACTGAAGGAAGAAGTGCAAGCTGCACCAAAGATATTGGTTAAAAACAAGGCTCCAGGAATTGACAGAATACAAATTGAAATCTTTCAACAAACTGCTGAAGCTTTGGAGGCTCTCACTCATTGGCTAAGAAATTTGTTAGACAGCGAACTGTCTAAATGATTGGAAGAGATCCATATTTTTCCCATGTCAAAGAGAGGTGACCCAATGAGATGTGGATATCATTGAACAGTAACAGTAATATCACATGCAAGTAAATTTTTTCAGGAGATAATTAAAAAATGGCCGCAACAGTACATTATCAAAAAGTGCCAGTAATTCAAACCAGATTCAAAAGAGGATGTAGAACAATGGATACCAGTGCAGATGTCAAATGGATCTTGGCTGAAAGTAGAGAATACCAGAAAGATGATTACTTGTGCTTTGTTAACTATGCAAAGACTTTTAACTGTGTGGATCATGACAAGCTATGGAGAACAATGCAAAGAATGGGTATTCCAGAACACTAAATTGTGCTTATGAGTAACCTGTACATATATTAAATGACAGTTGTTTGAACAAAACAAAGGGATACTGAATGGTTTAAAATCAAGAAAGATGAGCATCAGGGTTGTATTCTTTTTTTTTTTGGGGGGGGGGGGTCCCTAGGCAAGTCTCCGGGAGGGGACAGCTGCTCCCGGGCAAGAGAGAGAGAGAGAGGGAGGGCAGCAGCTGAGCCGTGCGCATGCACAAAACAAAAAGCCTACAGCACCCGGTATTCCCAGGTGGTCTCCCATCCAAGTACTAACCAGGCCCGACCCTGCTTAGCTTCCGAGATCAGATGAGATCGGGCTCATTCAGGGTGGTATGGCCATAGACCAGGGTTGTATTCTTTTACCATACTTACTCAATCTGTATGCTGAGTAAATGATCTGAGAAACTGAATTAGAAGAAGAAGAATACGGCATCAGGATTGAAGAAGACTCATTAAAGACCTGCAAAATATAGATGACACTGCCTTCCTTGCTGAAAGCAAAGAGGACTTAAAATACTTACTGATGATGATCAAAGAGTACAGCCTTCAGTATGGATTGCACCTCAATGTAAAGAAACCAAAAATCCTCTCAACTGGACAAGTAAATAATATCATGATAAATGGAGAAAACACTGAAGTTGTCAAAGACTTCATTTTACTCAGATCAACACTCATGGAAGCAACAGACAAGAAATCAAATGATATGTTATTGCATTGGACAAATCTGCTGCACAAGACCACTTTAAAGTGTCCAAGAGCAAAAATGAGGACTAAGGTACACCTCACCCAGGCCATGGTATTTTCAGTAACCTCATATGCATATGAAAGTTGTACAGTGAATAAGGAAGATCATGTAAGAATTGATGCATTTGAGTTGTGCTGGAGAAGAATATTGTAAGTACCATGGGCCGCCAGAAATGCAAATCAAATCTGTGTTGGAAGAAGTGTAGCATCATGCTTGGTAAAATGAAGGGTCAGTGAAAAATAGGAAGAACCCAACAAGATGTATTGGCACAGTGGCAGACCCGATGGGCTCAGGTGTAACAATTGTTAAGGATTGAGCAGGAACAGACAATGTTTCCTTCTGTTATGCATGAGGTCTCTATGAGTCGGAACTGACTTTACAGCACCTAACAACAACAAAAACTAGCATTAGATACTTTTCTAGTTGCTTGGGTACTACAGATAAATCCTACAGATGAAAGTCCTTGCTCTCATGGTAGTGCTATTTCAGTGGGTTCTCTGATACCTGGATGCATTTACTAGCAATTCTGTTCAGCATTCATATTACAATCACAAGAGAAATATAACTGAGAGCTATGTTGAAATTTATTAATCTGACTATGTGAAAGAATTAAGTTCAAGTTGTCAGTAGTCTTCTACTTTCAAAATGACCGAATAGTCTTCTCTGAAAGTTTATCTTTAGTCTCTTGTGAGGTTTAATATACTGCAACATGTGTCAAGAGGAAATTTGAAAAAGGAATAGAGCTAATACTTAGAAAATAGTTTCACACTTCTTCACCTTATTCGTTAGGTCTGCCTTATACATAACCAGTCACTCAGAATAATCAACTTATTCCAATAGAGTAAAAGAGAAATTCCTGAGTTAATCTAGTTTTTACTTGTAAATTGTCCTTGTAAAAGAAGGCACACACTAACTGAAGTAAAGTAACAATATAGTCTCATGACTTTTTCAAACCTTTAAGTCCATAAACTTAGAATTTAAATTTCTAAAATTTGATGAGGACTATGCACTATTGGGGAGTCCTGGTGTGGCACTGTGAGTTAGTGTGCTGGACTGCAAAGTTGGTTTGAACCGCAATGTTGGCAGTTCAAGCTCATTAGCCGATCCTCGGAAATCCTGTGCAGGGTCGCTATGGGTTGGAACCAACTTTATGGCATTTAACAACAGCAACAACATACACTATTAGATGGATTAAGTATAATTTGACATAACAATAAATATGTAAATAATGTTTATGTATGTTCTCATCAGGATGTACCTGCTGCTGCTCGACAACAGTTCTACACTGACATGTACTGTCCAATCTGTTTACATCAGGCCTCCTTCCCGGTTGAAACAAACTGTGGACATCTTTTTTGTGGTAAGCAAATAAGACTACACTTGGTAAAAATGACTATTAACATCAAGTCCCAAACGTGTGCAAAGACTAGATTCCTGTTTTTCTCTTTTGCTTATTTCGTATTTCTTGAGTTTAATTTCACCGAATTCTTCATTGCTCACCAATTTTTGGTAGTTTTGTCTATGATTCCTTCTTTCTTGTACAGAAAAGTTCTTCTCTCAAGAACCCTGCCTCATGTGACCTCAAGAATGTTGGTGAGAGAATGAGAAACCTAGAGCATGCAGTGGGACAAGAAGGAAATAGTGATTTCACATTAGCTTAGTACAAGAAAGGGGTGCTTTCTGTATCACTCCTCCATGGTTTTTCATAAACCTTCAGAAAGATTTCAAAGAGAAAAATGAGTCATTTCAAAAGCATTGTTTGCTGTGGTCGTATGAGATTGGAGAAGTTCAAAGGAGACAGTTATTAAGTGTCTGTTATGTGCTGAGCACTTCTTACCTGGACTTACAGATGAGGAAACTGGAGCTCAGAGATATTGAGAAATGTTACAAAGGTTAACCCAACTGTTAAGTAACAGAGCCTGGTTTCAAACTTAAGTCTGTCATTAAGCCCCATGCTCAGTTCTGCTGTATGATTGGATACTTATTCAGTGGGCAACACTCTCAGGACTACTCTTAAGTATGTTCCCAGACCTGTTCTTTATTGATAGTATTTCTTTCTTTTGAACAGCTGTATGCAAGGTAAGACCCAAATTGCTCCTTATATGGAAAATAAACACTTCAAAACCCATCAGCTGCTTCTCAAGAGAAAGATGAAGCTGTCTGCTCCCCTAAAAATTTACAGTCTCAGAAACTCTATATAGTATGGCTATGAGTCAAAATCGACTTGATGGCAGTGGATTGAATTTGGATATATATGTTGTTGTGTGTTAAGTGCCGTCGAGTCTATTCCGACCCATAGCGACCCTGTAAAGGGTTTCCGAGGCTGTAAATCTTTACGGGAGCAGAAAGCCTCATCTTTCTCCTGCGGAACAGCTGGTAGTTTCGAACTGCTGACCTTTAGGTTCACAGCCCGATTCGTAACTATTACGCAACCAGAGCTCCTTGGATTTATATATACAATAAATATAGTCAACAAACTATATATGCAGGAGTTTTATGGAGCCTTGATAGTGAATTGGTTTAAATGCTTGGCTGCTAACTAAAAAATCATCAGCTCAAAAGCAACAGCCACTCCACAGGAGAAAGATGTGTTTGCTTCCATAAAGATTGTTGTTTGTTGTTAGATGCCATTGAGTCAGTTCCAACTTATAGCAACACTGCATAGGGTTTCTGAGGCTTTAAATCTTGCAGGAATAGAAACCTACTGTCTTAAAAACCCTATGGGGGCAGGTCTACCTTGCCCTATAGGGTTGTTAAGAATTGGAATTTACTTGATAGCAACAGGTTTGATTTTTTGGTTTATACAATGGTCTTATAAATTGCTTTCTCTGTATGTTTTGTCTAACTGGTTTCCTCATATAGAATTCTTAGGGACTCAGCTGTCAGGGATGATAGAAGTATTCTAAATCCATGTCATCCAATGCACAGTTATCCGTATGTTGTGGTCATTTACTAAGTACTGACCAATCCCCCTTTTTGCCTTGTCCATTAATTTCAACCTTTGCCTAAGGTTTTTGCTTAAGTAGCCCACAAATTATAAATACTTATTTCAGTGTCTGTCTTCAGTTGTCTTTTGGAAATAGTAATGGGCAGCAAAATAATGAAAGATCAGATGAGGAGACTCAAAAAGCCATTAGAGAATACAGATCCCTGGCATGAATGTCCCTACTTTTCCCTCCAAATCCCAGGTAGATGTACTACAACCAAGTTTTCTTCTGAGTCTGTATATGGCCTCAAATCATCCTCTCAACACTGTTCTCCAAGCAGGTGTTAGTAATCTGTGAGGTTTGGCAGGTATTTGACAACCCAGGCTTAAGTAATTCACTTAGTGGATAATCCCGTGAATTGAAAGATAGCTGTATTGTGTTCCTGGTTTTACCTCTGGGTCTGAGGTAATGGGGTAGATTGCTTCTGATATCCTGTTCTACTTGTTGGCCACTTGTATTTCGTTTCTGTGGGTTTAAAGGTTAAAAAACAACAACAACTAGTTATTCCGCTTCTCAATAAACAGAAATGTGTTTCTTTGACTAATAGTTCAAATATATGAATGCCATGTATATCTAGAGCACCTTAGCTTAGTTCCTCTGTATGGAACTACAGTTCTGTTCCATTACAGTAGGTTAAGAACACCATTTCTGTCATGTTCATTTCTAACACACATTGTTTTAGTTAATTTCCTAAAGTTTTGTGAGGACTATGTTATTATTCCTATTTTACAGATAAACAGATGTAGAAATTGTGACCCAGATTAAAGTAATCCAGTCATCTCTCATTCAACTACCGTATTTAAGTGGATATCTCTTTTTATAAAGAGGGAACGTTGAGGAATGAGAAGACATGAAGTACATCATAGCAATATGCATAAACAGAAGTGTTTGATTTGCTGAATCACAGCTTTTCAGTACAGTCAAGTGACCATTACATCATATGCATCAACAAGGGTACCTCCCCAATTTGTGGAATAGAGAGATGTGAGATTACATGGGTTAATATACTTTAAAACACATTTGAGTTCCTGGTTTAAAAGGTAGCAGATAAATCAGCACAGATGGTTGTATTAGTGATAACAGATTAATTATAAATTTTACTTTTCATATGAAATTATATTATTCTAAGGGTCCTGGTGTGGTACTGTAGTATAAGCAATGGGCTGCTAACCACAAGGTCAGAGGTTCAAACCAT